AAATAAATCTATGTTAAAAATAGCACTAAAACACAATTAATCATAGCACTAGGTACAACTAAAAATAGCGGTTCTCACGGTTCTCACGCTAGGACTTGGTTCTCATTTTAACCAAATCCTATATATGTGTGTGTGTGTGTGTGTGTTGTGTGTGTGTGTGTGTTTGTACATATGTATGCAGGGGCAGAGCCACCCCAAAGACTGGGGTGGGCTCTAGCCCGGTCTTAATTTTTCGGCTATGCTATATTTATACAGATAAAAAAATATTTTAGCTCACGTTACATTATATCAACCCAGTATTAATCATATTTTAGCCCAAAATGAATCATATATTTAAACATGATTTAAGTTTCTTTCCACTTTTCCTTTTTACATTATTATGCCTCTTTCCACTTTTCCTTTTTACATTATTATGCCTCTTTTATGTCATTCTTGTGTTTATTTTTTATTATTTGGTTAAATAGATTTTATATGGATAATTTAATTTGAGAAAAAATTGACTGTGTTAGACATTCATTAGAATACTCAGTATGTCAGCGAATGTATAGATTATACAATCAAATTTATATATTTACTGAATTTTTAAATAATGATAATTGACTATATGAAATTTATTATTAAATCTCATTTTATTTATTTGACAAATTCAATGTGACATTGTACTTTAAATGATATGACATATAACAAGAATGACGAGACTATTGCACCGTTTATAATAGTTCTTCAAATAAATTATGATTTTTTTTCAATTAAAGTACATGAGAAAATTTATCTTTTTACATTTTAAGAAATATTGATGAAACATCTAAAAATAAATATTCATCATATGTATAGGAAAATAGTTAAAAATTCACAAGTTTTTGTTCAAAAAGAATCATATACATATAAAACAAGACTAATTAGAAAATACAATAATTCTTATATTTATTGTGTGGTTCAGGTCCTTTATATTAAATTTAAAAATTATTTTCATACCTTGACTTCTTTAAATATGTGTCTAGCTAGATTTTTTGAATCGAGTATTTCAAGTTCAAACTCGTGCTCATTTAATAAACGGTGGTCATGGCTTAACTGTTTAATAAACATATAAAAATTATACCTTGAGTTCGACTCGTATAAAATCAATTCAATTCATTTAATAAACCTTAAAACCTAAAACATAACTGAAAACTCTTACTGAATTATTCGCAAACACACTCGACTTAAAGACAATTCGATTTTGGCTTGTTTATATATACAAGAAAGTCAAGCTCAAAATTTTACAAGTCGAACCACACTATGTTAGAGAACAATTCGATTCGAATAACAATAACATATTTTGCGCAGTCCAGGGTAATTTTTTTTTTCTGTCTACACTATATGTACTTTTGGGTGAATTTCATTTTTTATTGTTTCAGCGTCTTTGCTTCAACAAGTTGATGGAAAATCTCATTAAGGTTCTCCACCTTCATAATTTACACAATATTGGATATCACTCGACTTATCATCAACTCACAAAACAAATAAATAAAAATGAGTTTAATCTATATCTATATATATAGAAAGCGAGAACCTATTTACCAAAAATAGTAATAAAAAAGTCAACCATCATTTATTGTATTATATTTTTGGCAGTTTTTGAATTTTATTTTAAATTATTCTAAAAAAAAAATCAATCAGCTATATATGTACTCTAAATTCATGGGTTTTGTGAATTTAATTTAGGTAAATTTTTACTGATGCATACAATTTTTCATAAGTCCAAATTCTTTCTCATTTTATATATATATAAAAAAATGATTACCATAAAATTGAAAATTTTGAATTAGGCGAAATACTATCACTTATATCTTTTCCTAATTGTAATAGATCAATTGTTTATTAAAAAAAAAAATCAGATTTTATAGAAATTGGGTAAATTTAGGTAAAATTCGGCACGACAATTTTGTAAAAGTCAAAATTTTTACATTTTTTATAAAAAATAACATTTACCATAAAATCGAGAATTTCGAATCAGACAAAATACTATAACATGTATCTTTACCTAATTTCAACAAGTCATGTTTATTAAAAAAAAAAAAAAGAATTCCATAGAAATCAGACTTAATTTCAAATTGGAAAAGAAAAAAATTAAAAATTCATTATCATTTGGCTACTACTTTCTTTAGTTTATTTTTTTTTAAAAACATAAAACTGAGTCAGATAATATTAATTTGAAATTCAAAATGAGATCGGATTGGAACATCCTAAAAATTTGAGTCTTGTTTAATTCTGTAGAATACAAACTTGAACTTGATTGCACACACTTACACAATTTTTCCCTTCCTTAAATTAAGTAATTTACAATTTTAAATTAATAAAGCTATAGATTATCAAGAAAGACGTTTACAATCTCCGTTATATTTGGCTATCCATTATTTATAAAACCAGTAAAAATCATATCATATATATCCTGCTAAATAGTTTACCTAATATAATTTGTGGCGATAAACGATGTATTAAAAGACCAAACAAATAATGTTGTGTGCAAGGATATGTTTAGTAATATATAAGTTACGTTTTGTTTTAATCCAATACATGTGTTTTCCGTTCTTACAATCATCTAATTCTCCAAATATAAATTCTTACCTTAATAAAACTAGTACGTATATCGCACAGATAATGCACTAGTAATCTATACTTATATAAAGAGTCATTCTGTTTACTAAAATTAGTAGCAAAAAAATATGTCAGCAATTAATGCAAACCATAAATACTAGTTTTATTATTTTTTCTTATTTTTTTTCTTTAAAAATCATATAATTTAATTTTTAAATATGTTTTAATATAATCATACAATTTATTTTTTTTTTTCTTTAAAGATACGCTTTAATATACATACATATATATATATAGTACTTTTTGTAATAAATTTGAATAAAATGTGTTACTTAAAATATTCAAATGTTTAAATTTATTGATAAACAATTTATAAATCTCTATTTTATTTAAAGATGTAATTTTATTTAAAATGATTTTAAATATAGCCAAATTTATTTAGAAAATCGTATCGATCCTACCAGTTCAACCGACCGGCGTTGATGGATTCAATAGTAAATATTTTATTTAAGTGAACTAGACTGATTATAAACCGGTTCTCGGTCCATCTGGTCATACTGTGTCCAACACGGTTTAATTTAAAAATAATGTGTAAATCTTGATTAATTTATTTGTATATTTAATTTATAACACAATCGTAATATTGTTTTCCCGTGCATCGCACGGGCCACACACTAGTACTTGATAATGAACAATAATAAATTAACCAAGTTTGGTTAACAAAAACCCACTAACTGCCATGCATATTAATTACATGAGATTGGCGATATATATTTTCCTAATTAATTAGTTACGAAGGTCGAATATATAGAATGATCATGACAATATTAGGAAGTTATAATTAACCACACCTGCAAAATGACCAATCATAGGGTATGCTGTTGGTGACATTCGCGTGAAGTGCCTTTTGAACCTCAGGTCTATTGAGGTATGCCTGTACATAATTGTCACTGCAGGGGTCAAAATTAAGTACCTGCATCGTTCAATTTTAATTTCATAAATAATATATAGTAATATTATATCGAAGAAATTATTAAATAGAAAACTAATTATAGTAGAGAAATGCTAAGGTTCTTTTACAAAATCATTCCATCGGGACTTGTAACTGTTAGATCATTACGTAATCATCACAGATAGTTGGTCTAACGGTTACAAACCCCGACAGAATGGTTCCGTAACGAGACCGTAGCATCTTATATTAATTACTTACGGAAGCACTCTGGGGAGTTTTGGTGAGGTTGGAATTCAAGCACAATGGAGCATAGATATTATAAATATCAATAACGCCTATGTCTTTACCAACTTCACCATAAGCTTTATTGCATTGATTTGAAACTTTAGCCTTCTCAGAAAAATTACAATACTCCAACAATTGGTTCAATGTCTCATTAGAAATCAAAGCATGGGTTTCAAGATTTTCATACATCCCTTTGTTGTCGGTCTCGTCGTTGATCCAAGCATTCCCAATCTGGATACAATTAACGCAATAATTAGTTCGTTAATAATAATAATAATAATAATAATAATAATAATAATAATAATAATAATAATAATAATGTTGCTTATAGCAAAATCATTACTCTAGTGACATGTACATAAAGTGAAATGTTTCTTACAAATATCCCTTTCAATCGGATAATATTTGGACCATTTATGTTGTGCTGGAGAATGTTGAGAGCCAACTGGGGCACATAGTGCCCAGCATAGCTTTCCCCAGCTAAGTACAAGTCTCTGTACTTGTATTCTGGAAATTTCTCCAACCAGTTCAACAAAAACACATAATTGTCAATAGCCGTTTCATTGTCGCCACTTTTCATTACATCGCTTTTGGTTTTTGAGTATGAGAACCCAACGCCAGCAGGTGTCTCCAAAAATAACACATTTGCAACTGGCGAGAGATCAAAATATTAACAAAAATAAAAAAAAATATGAATGTGAATTATGTATCGATTATAAGGGTAATTTTTTAATTGGTAGCGTACGTACGTACCACGATTCCATGCATATTCGTTTTCATAGAGCGTTTTCCCGTCACTACAAACCCGAAATGGACCCAGTTCCTCCATTGCTCCGTAACCAAGAGAAGAACAACCAGGTCCTACAGCAAATTGATATAATATGTTTAGACAAATTATCGAAAGAAGAAAGAAAGAAAGAAAGACACACCTCCATTAAGCCAGAGAACAAGCGGCAAATTGCTCGATTTTTCTGGATCAGCCTCAACAAAGTAATAAAAGAGAGCTCGTTCGGCAACAATGTCCACAGAGACATATCCACTATAGTGGCTGAAGTTAACTGGCGGTTGCCCGGGCAAATATGTTATTAGGTCCTCCTCTTTCAACCCTTCCTGTGATAGAATTCGTTCTTGCGGGAAATCGAAAATAGGGATGAAAGGTCTTGTGTCTATTTCTGTATTAGCTTTCAACTTGTTTTTGTTTAAACGGTAAAGAGCTTCACTTTGCCTTTTCCCATTACTATTTGATGTGAGACATGCAAAAAGAATCATGTAGAAAACAATAAGGAGTCTTCTATTTTTCATTGTTGTTTAATTTTTTTATTTTTTTCTTTTGTTATAATACTCAAATATTTGGAAGAGAATGAAGAAAGAGATGGGAATTTGATAACATTATTTTACAAGTATTTATAGGTGATTACAGGTGTTCTAAATGGGTTAAAAAGTTTACCATAATGTTAAGGAGCCAATTGTTAGCTCCGTTACGGAGGCAACAACCAATAAGACAGGTCCATGTGAGATTGTCCCACATGGCTCCAATGTGAGACAATCTACATAGAGTTGTTCTATTGGTTGTTGGCTCCGCAACGGAGTCAACTGTTGGCTCGTTAGCATTACTGAAAAGTTTACAGAGATGATAAAAATTTTGTTTATACTTTTTATGATCCTCCTTGCACAATAGAGGACAAATTTGACATGTCTCATATATTTTAATAGAATATTTTATATATATTTTTATACAAAAAGGATCTTTCATTTTTAAACAGATACTCAACTTTGATTCCATCAAAAAAATAAAAAAGATTCAGTACCAAATCACTGTGGCTTTTTTTTTTTTTTTTTTTT